TGAATCGTCATGTTGGAAAATGGCTTTTGTCAAATCACTCATCTTTTTAGTTTTCTCCCCTTCTTCCTGCTCTTAAGTCGTCCTCTGAGCGTGTTTGTTTTCTCTTCCCCCGCACATGCACCATGGCCAGACTATTCTGAGTAGCTCACAGTGAATATAGTGAAGTATATCACATTTTGGGCAATGCTGATCTGACCTCATGGGAGGAACTGTAGAGTTTTTCTTGTGCTCAAATTGGTTTTGCTGATTATTTTTCCTTCCCTCTGCATATTTCAAACAGAACTAACATTGGTTAAATCCAAGCTTGATAGGAGAAAGATGATGCTTCCAAAAAAACTTCTAAAACCTGTATACTTGTAGCCTGTTTTATCGGTCCCTTCCATGCAAAATCGGTAGAAGCCACGTTCTTTGCCATTACATCCTTTTGAAAAGGGAAGGAGGTAGCATCTTGTTCAAAGCAGTTTTATCTGCAGCTCCAGCAAACCCAACTCTCTGCTTTCCTCCATGAAAGACCCTTTTGTAGGTGAATGTTATCTCAGCTGAGTCTCAATGAGCGCTGTGCGCATGAACACGGGGTTGTTTGTCTTGAACAACTTTTTTGTTCTCTGCTGAGAGCAGCTCCTTCCTGAAACAGACCTAGGCTTTTATTTCAACACTGGGAAAAAAAATCAAAAGCTGTACACATAAGTCTGCCAAAGATGATAGTCTCAAGTCCACCAGCAGTCTGCATTTGATAATTTGCTTTTACCTGCCTTTTTAGCCTTTTATTTTGTTAGGTGGTGACCCTTTTTTTTTCCTTCTTTGAATACTGGTTATTGGAAAAAAAAAAAAAAAAAAGAGTGGTGGCCTCGTGTAATTCACCTCTTGCTTTTGCCACGCCACTCCTCCCTCGTCCCAGCATTCGCCGATGTATTCTCTTTCCCTCCCATGTTGGATGCGTATTGGTTGACATCTCTGTTGTTCCTTGCTTTTCAGTTGGGCTCTTCTCCTCTTTCACCACCTAATCGCTCTCCGTCTTCCTCTGACCTTCTGACATCTCATCCGACCTTTTTCAGGCGGACCAGGTGACAAGAAACTTAACCCGAGAGCAATTTGTCAGGTTGTCACCGATGACTCCCTCTCTGCCAGCCCATTAAACACTGCTGTGCTCCGTGCGGCTCCTGCCACCCTGGCGATGGGCCCGGGCGCTTCCCGGGGTCCCTGCGGGGCTGGGACACGATGCAGCGCCCGCGTGCGGCACCGCTCGGGCGCTAACGCGGTCGCGCTGCCTTCCCCGCCGGGCTCGCGTGCTCCCAGCGACGCTCCTACATTCCAGGAAGCCCTGCACCTTCTGGAGGCAGTCCCATAAATCCCTCTCCAGACCCGGGGCAGGAAAAGCAGCATTTTTTGTGGCTCCCCTAACCCATTTTGGCGAAGGCCTGTCCGTGTGTGGCCAGCCTGGGAGCTTTGTGAGCGAAGGGCATTGCTGGCAATGCTCCTGCTGCTGTTCCCATGTTGCCGGGCCGGAGCGCTCCCTTAGGTGTCTTCCCTGCTCCTGAGGACATTCCCTGTCCCTTCCTGCGGAAGGAGCAGCCCTAGGAGCTGGAGCAGCGGCCGTCACCGCGAGCAGCGTGAGCGCAGGGCAGCCCACGTGTCTCCCGAGCCCGCCCGGCCCTGCGGGGCTCCGTGGGGCCTTTGGGTGCCCGTTGCACTGGGTGCTCTCGGGGTCACTAGAGGTGCGGGGCCGGGTGCTGCTCGGCCTGCGCCGCAGCGAGGGCTTCACAGCTCTCGTGGTCCTCGTGGGCTAAGGACCTGCTGCGTAAGGACCGGCAGCCATTCCCGGCCTGACACAGGGCAGAATCTCTGTCTTCAGCACTCTTGTAGTCTAAGAATATTATTCTTTTTTCTAAAATATCAAAGAAAAATAATGGTTGGGATTAAGCATTACTTGCTGTTCCTCCTCAAAGGATGTTATCAAATGTTCGAGTTACTTGTGATTGAAAGCATAATCCTATGCTTTCATACATATAAATGTATAAATCAGGGATTACTTCTGCCCGAAGAGGCATGCAAAGAAAAGGGGGGGAGGCAAAAAATGTAAGCATCTTTTTAAAACCTGCTTCTTAATGAGACCCGTAGGTGAAGAGCTTGCCTGTGCGCACTGCACCCACTGCTAATGTTCTTCTGGCTCCGTGCTATTCCGAAGAGCAATGAATGCCGGATGATGACCAAAACGAGCTGCCGTGCTTGGGAATAGCTCCACGTGGTGGGCTGTTGACTCCAGGTCTGTGGATCAGAGAAAGCAGCCCAAGAAAATAATGTAGCTACAGAATGATAGAGGAAATTCTGCTGCTTCACACAAATAGTTACCAATGTATGCGTGTATCTTTTATTTCAATATTTTCTTAGTGCTTCTACGGTAACTATTGCCAGGGCTTCTTCCTGGAGTCTTTCATGATTTATTGGAACACATTTAGTGGCAGAGACGGTAACAGATGCTGGTCAGAGATAAATTCAGGAAGCTAGTTGGAATAAATATTTAGTTATATTGGATTTTTGGCCTCCGCTGGAAAGGCCGTGCCGTGCTCTGGGTGCTGCGTGCAGCCCACTTGCCAGCGCTGCAGCCGCCGATGCCGAGAGCATCACCGGAGTCATACGAGCTCCGAAGAACCGTACTTGGTTTAGTATTGAGGGCTAGGCTTTGCAAACTAAAAATACAGCAAACTTCGCCCACAACCAAGAACGTGGAAATGTTGGAAGGTGTGTCTAATTGCAAAGCAAAATGTAATACCGTGCTCAGCCTCAACTTTCCTCTGGACTGAGGAAAGCAAAGAACCGTACTTGGTTTAGTATTGAGGGCTAGGCTTTGCAAACTAAAAATACAGCAAACTTCGCCCATAACCAAGAACATGGAAATGTTGGAAGGTGTGTCTAATTGCAAAGCAAAATGTAATACTGTGCTCAGCCTCAGCTTTCCTCCGGACTGAGGAAACAAGTGACGGCTGATGAAAATGTTTGCCTTGGACTGGCAGGTGTAAATTAAACGGGGATCCCTCAGTGCATCATCTCATAAGGCTTCTGGGGTCCCACATTGAAATGGCTTCCCCCTCACCACAGGGAAAATGTCTCCTCGTAGCCTGTTGGTAGAAGAGATTGTAATAGCAACTCCTTAAAAAAGACAGGTATTGCTGATATTTCTATTGATGATACTGCTTTTGAGGACGAGGTATCACATACATTAAGAAAACTAATGTGCAGCAGTCACGTCGTGCCAGACGTGGTGATTTTCAGAGTGTGTTGGTTTCCTGGATTCCCCTGTCTTTCTCTTTCGCCTCCACATGTTCAGCGTTGCTGCCAGAGTGTGTTGGTTGCCTGTTACCTGGCCTGGTTGCTGATAAGCACTTCCCAAACTCCCTTTCAGCCCCTTAGATTTCCGGCGCTCACGACACCTAATGAGCAGGTTGCTGTGGAAATCGGGTTAGTTCGGATTTCAGGTGTGTGCTTCTCTTCCTCTCTAGGCCGGGTGAAATACGAGAGCTGGTGCCCATAGCTGTCGAGGAAGAATGATGGGGTAAAAAGAGGAGCAAGTGACCCAGAGAGCACAGTGAGGTGTCCAGCTGGGTGAATTTAGGCTTGCGTCTCGTTTCACCTAATGAGCAGGTTGCTGTGGAAATCGGGTTAGTTCGGATTTCAGGTGTGTGCTTCTCTTCCTCTCTAGGCCGGGTGAAATACGAGAGCTGGTGCCCATAGCTGTCGAGGAAGAATGATGGGGTAAAAAGAGGAGCAAGTGACCCAGAGAGCACAGTGAGGTGTCCAGCTGGGTGAATTTAGGCTTGCGTCTCGTTTCTCGGGTGAATCGCCGGGTTCCCCGCGGCTCAGGAGAGCTGGCGGCCTCTCCGCAGCAGGTTGGGGTCGAGGGCCCGGCGGCAGCGCCTCGCTGTCCCGCTGCCGAGCGGCCTCCAGCCGCTTGAGCGATCCAGGGAAGAGCTGCACCCACTCAGTCAACCGAGCTGCGTCCATGCGACGACTGCTGCGTTTGTGTCGCTTTATGAACCAGCAGTCCTGAAACATGAGCTTGTGGGGCAGGAGAATACTGCAATGCTGCAAATGATGAGAGAGCGTAGCGTGTTTGGGGCTTTTAGAAGACACTTGTGTTATTCGAGTAGCATATTAAGTACTCATTTAATATTTATATCTCTCTGCTAAGAGGTATTAGGGAGGGGACACCGTTCAGCTCTGTCAGAGCAGCAACGCGGGTGTGGGCAGGGTTTGCCGCCGGCCCAACCGCGGTGTTGGCGCTGCCGTTCCCTCCGAGGGACACGGACACGCACCTGGGAGCCAGCTCGTGCGGTGTTTGTCTTCAACAGTCCGTTCTGCTCAATTTTGCAATCGCTGAGGTTCTGAAGCCGTCCCTCCCACAGCAGTTTTTAATATTCCTTCAAGTTGTGCAGTGCCGTGAGCTGACAGGACAGAATCTATGTGGAAATGTTGATCTGTAGAAATAGATGCAAGTAATGTAAGCCTCAGGAGACCTGACTGGGGTGCTAAACAGCTGGAGGTGAGTGGGGCTGGAGATGAATGAGTGCATGTGCCCGGCGCTGGTGCGTGTTTTAGTGGCACTGGTGCCTGCCTGCTCGCCCGGGGCTCAGATTCCCTCCGCTCTCGTCACCCTCGTGGGTTGCTATAAAGACCAGTGTCATGGCAGCTGTTCAAATTCAGGTGCTCATGGGCTTGCTAATTTCTACCATCCATTAGAGATTTCCTACGTCAAGAAAATAGGATGCTCCTTTAATCTGTCACGTGAGCATTTATAATTACATATAGCAGAAAGTTAATGAAGGACTTGTTGTGCCTCATTGCTTTGAACTGTGTTTGAAAGGTCTGAGCTGCTCATGGAGACCTAGTTTTGAATGCGATTTTGCTGACAGATATTGACAGATTACATTTATGGAGACCTGGTTTCCACCACCTGCTACATGAACTCCTTCCTTTCCCTTCAGGAAAGGACCTCGGAGCGCCAGCAGAATGACCTCCGAAAGGGACTCGGAGACCACGTTCGATGAGGATTCCCAGCCCAACGACGAGGTGGTGCCGTACAGCGACGACGAGACGGAGGATGAGCTGGACGGCCAGCAGCCCGCGGTGGAGCCCGAGCAAAACCGCATCAACCGAGAAGCCGAGGAGAAGCGAGAGTCCCTTAAAAAAGGTAATGCTATGAGAGGCGCTTCGTTTGGATAGAAAAGAGTTCTGAACTCATACGCCAAGCTGTGCACAGATCAATTTGGTTTTTGTATTTAATTTGTTAGAATAGGCTTGAAACGGATAGCTTACGTAAACCTGCAGGGGAATAATGATGGTAATTCAGTGTAACACAGGTCAGTAAGCATATTAACTTATCTAGTCCCTAATGCGGACTGCGGGTGCCTGGAGAACTGCCTGGAGAGACCGTCCGTAGCCGTGTTCCCCACGGCCTGCGGATCCGGGCCTGCTCTGTTCAGTGCGCAGGTTTCCTTTTCCCAAGTCGTACACAAAGGAGATTTCAGCTCCATGCTAACCTCCAGCCTCAGGATTTCCTTTACCTGTAGGAGTTGCAGAGTAACAGAAAGTCAGACTGAGAAGGTACTTAAATCCACCAGGATCAGCCACCAAAAGAAGAACCAGGAGCCGGATCCCTTCGGCATGGCTTAGCCCTGCCATTCCTGACCTTTGTGCGGGAACAGTCTGCAACTTCCCTAACTGCTTTTTTTGTCCTTGTTCCAGTGCAGTTACTTTATTCCCTTTACATATGTAAGGATTCTTTCTTTCTGTTTGTGTGCCAGTGGGGGACAACCGAGGACCTTTTGTTTTGTAACCACCTATTACATATTCATAGCCTTTTTTTTCCTTCTTTTTCTTTTTAAATTGAGGTGATCTAGCCTGTTGGATAAACACAACTTGTTTAGTTTATCATCACCTGGGCTTCTCCTTAAGGCTGTTGTCTTTTTCTACTTTTTGATCAGATACTTTACTTTGTGGGCAAACAGTAACCCAAACTATACTTTGTCACCTACTGTAAGCAGCAAGGGGAGAAAAAAAAAGGAAACCAAAATGCAACAGAACCTCCTACACATTTGATTTCTCTTTCAGAAGTCGAACATGCCCTTTCTCCTTATCCAAGTGAAACTGGAGAGAGTCTAAAGTCAATGAGATGAATTTTGATTCTACCCTCCAAAATTCAATCTAACCATAAAACTCTTTTATCTCTACAGTTAATCTGTTACCGAATTATTATCCAAAATAAGGAAGAGAGGTAGGGAGATGAGGATTCCTCTTGAGCTCCGAGGCTGGTCAAAAGCTTTAAGGAAGTAGGAGCTTTTTGCCACTCCATAAACCACTATCCTAATTATAAGAGTTTATGGACAGTTGGCAAATCTTTATTTTCTTCAGATTCTTTTTAATGTTCTTTTCTCTCTTTTCTCATTACTAGCTAATTTTCTGGCATAAATTCATAAATTGCAGAATTTTCAGACCCATTGACTGTTCAGTGGGTAGTTATCTTTAGGTAGCACAGCAAAAATAGCAGCCTGTTCATTCAGCCAAAATGATCTTCCCTTCATGTTTCTTTGAGGATGATGAATTATTGATCCATCTTCCCAAATATTGGTATTAATATAACTTTTAACTAGTCTAAAGTAATTTTGTGGGTTTTTCTCTATGGAGATTGCATTTTAAACCTAATTATCTGCTTCTTGATTTGACATGCTGAGGTTTATCAATGCTGTGACATTTTTATGAACACTGAATGAACATTTTAAAGAAATATTCTTGTAGCAGTTTCTAATATTCTTCAGATCTGCCGTTTTGGTAAAATTTAGTCATTTTTGGGTGGCCCCGAAGCGCTGCCCAGCCTGCAAGCAACGCGGCGGAAAGCAAGGTCGTGCCACGAGAGCCAAGGGCTTGCTCCTGGATCTGCCCAAAGGAACTTGCTTCGCCTGTTGCATGGGGGAAAACAACCAGGCTTGGCCCGGGCTGGAGGTTCCGTTCCCCAAGGCTGGGGGCAGCCTGTGGTCCGCTCCGTGCCGCAGGAGCGGATCCGCATTTCCTTCCTGGGTGGAAAATCCTCGGACAAAACTCTCTGCATCCCAATAAACCCCATTTAAAGGCAGCGCTCATGGGACTTGCCCAAGGCACCTTGAGGTGGGGGTAGAAGGTTTGCTGGGAGGGTTTCCAGAACCATCCCCATAGGAATGTTGTATGTCAAGTCTGGCCTTAAGTGCCAAATACTGAGGGGGCAGGAGGGGACGGGAGGGCTTAGCTGTTTCCAGGGGATTTTACAGCCCGTGGTCAGAAATTTCTGAAGACTTTTGCTGGCATCATTTGTGTAGTTTTATTAAATCTTGCAGCAAAATGCAATTCGTATTTCCACGCTTTCAAGCAATTGAACAAAATTGATGGCTGGGGAAATAAAACAAACTCTTTAGATTTTAACTTTTTTTGCAATTGTAAATGAAACAATTGCACAATAGGATTTTGCAATTTTATTTTTCCAACGATGTATCCTTACATTTGAGAAAAGCCTGAGAAACCCTGTTTTGGGTCCTTAGGGGCTAGCAGGTATTAACAAAAGCAAACCAGAAGAGAGGAAAGAATGGAATTTCATATGACTAAGTGTTACTCTGGTAAGTTTTCAGTACCTCAGAGAACTTTCAGTTTGTTATCAGTACCTGTGACTGTATCGTAGTTGTTAATAATTGTTAAGCATAATCGCTAATAATTGCTAAAGGCAACCTGGAAAATTCTTGAAAACCTTTAGACAATGTATGAAAAAAGTAGGTAGTCTCACTGTACTTTCAGTTGGAAGCGTCTTGCAAAGATGGGCTTTGAAAGGAAATCTAAAATGGGCAAACTTGGTTCGTTCTCTTTAGAGCATTGGGTATTGACCCCTTCTGCCTCGTCTCTTCCAGACTGCAGCTGGCAGGTTAGAGCAAACGATCGGCTCTTCCATGAGCAGCCCTGCTTTAAGAGAACCGTATTCCTGTGCTTCAAAAAAAGCAAATATGCAGTAAGTTTTTTTATTATTTTAAGCTGATCGGGATGAATGCTTTGCTAATCTCCATGTGATGCTTTCAACAACTCTTGATTGGTTCAAAAACCACATTTTCCTCAGGTTTGCCACAAAGGTCAGGAAGCATTACTGATTTCAGTTTTGTGAGTGGAAAATCAAGATGTCAGGGGAATTTTTTAAAATGAGACAGAGAGTTAGAAGCCAGGGTTTTTTATCCAAATTCTGAATTTTATCTCCTCGGCTACAGCTGTTACGAGCACCCAAATAGGTGTTGTCTTGTTATCTTTCATATAAAAATCTAACATTAATATTAAGCAATTATCCTGATCGAGCTAGACTGGGAACAGTCTTAAAAATTGGGCATGTCCAGTCATTTAAACACAGTGGTAGCGTTCTGGTTTGGGTTATGTCCCCATTCTAAGGTCACCTGTTTATGATCCAGGCGACGTTTTTATCTCATCTCTCAAGACAAAAGCTTGTGTTAGCTTTTGGTTTAGCCTGTGTTTTCACGTGGTCCTGGCTGGTAGTGATGGGCAATAGCAGCGTGGGGTTCCCTGTGGCCTGGCCTGGTTTCTGGAGGCCACGGCGATACCTGCTCCGAGGAGCTGGAGCAGTGTGGGCTGCTTCAGGCAAAGGCCTGAACATTTAATGATAAAACTTGCACAAGTGCAGCTGTTCCTAGAATGGAAATCCCTTAGGCTTGGACTTGTGCCTTTGTTTCACTGAGACAGCAACCCACATTAAACTGTTCAGGAAAGGAACAACTCTAACTGTGCTATTATAGAAATGATTTGACGAGAAAAATGCATTACTTGGAAATAGGAATTGCACATTTGTGAAGAAGAATCAATTCATGTATCGCTGTTGTGAATGACATTTGACTTTCTTCAACAGGGAAACGCAATTAAGACATACAAGTACAACCTAATCACTTTTTTACCACTGAATCTGTGTGAGCAGTTCAAAAGAGCAGCCAACTTCTATTTCCTTGTTCTTCTTATTTTACAGGTGAGATATATTTTACATGGAGACATTTTTAAGAGTCAAGTGAGTTTGAGGTGCCTATATCCTAAGCTAAATACTTACGACACAATATGTTGCTATCCTATCATATTGCAAGACTCTTCACAGGGAACTGTATTTTCAATATTGTAGAAATTAAGGGCATATTAATAAAAATCTGGAACATGACAGCTTTTATTCCTTACTTGTTTTTTTTTATCATATAGGATAAGCTATTTACATAGTTCATGAATTTTGTAAGGAAAGGATGTTCCTTTTGGTTCTTTCTCTGCAAAACATGATGGCTTTCAATTCCCATTAATGAATCAGACATGTCAACACAAAATGTAAATTATTACAATTATTGCATGGTCAAGCTTGTCCTGACAGGTTTGCGCATCTTCACAACCCAACCTAGAATTCTGTCTGATACGTTGGCTTTCTTTGTTGCAAGTCAGTTGACTCTTAATGTCTCTCATTAACATGATAGCAATCCTCCCATGAGCAGATTTTATTTATTTGTTTCTTGTAGACGATTCCCCAGATAACAACTCTTTCATGGTATACAACACTGGTGCCCTTACTCCTGGTGCTGGGAATAACTGCAGCCAAAGACCTAGTGGATGACATTGTAAGAAACGTGTTTTGTAAATATTACTAAAAGCAAAATAAACCTTTTTTCCTTTTTTTTTACTTTTTTTTCCCCAAATTGTGCTTACTGCACATGCAGTGAGTACGTTCTCTGCTCCTCCGTTTCAGGCTTGCCACAGGATGGACAGCGAGGTTAATAACAGGACGTGTGAAGTAATCAAGGATGGAAGGTTTGTGCTGTTCCCTGCAGGCTTCGCAATGGTGTTTGTTGCCCTGTTGCTAAGTTTCATCACAGATCTGAGCTATAGATGACTGAAATCTCAGCTGCTTTCTCCATGCTTCTGCACATGTTTGTGTGACAACTGGAATTGGAGGATAATTGCCTAAAAGAGTCATTTAAATTCAGTTCTGTGGCACTAAAGCTGTGCTAAGAGCAACTTTCTGGGGAGAAGGTTGTCAATTTACATGTATGTGGAAAGGGAAAATAAGATGTAGGTTTAGATCCCAACTTGCACTTTCCAGTAAGGAAAAACACAGCTTACACTTAAGATACAGTGTCTTGTACTAAGGAAGTTTCAAAATTTTAAGCCTTATTATGTGCATATTGTTTTAGATGAGGCAGTAATGAACACTAAACTATCTTCGTGTTAGGTTCAAAAACACAAAATGGAAAGATATTAAAGTTGGAGATGTCATTCGTCTGAAGAAAAATACTTTTGTTCCTGTAAGTAGTTTAGACATGCCTTTGTCTTATGTTTCTACAGAGATCTTTGCAAATATTGACTTGGATTTGTTTGTTGTGTATTTGTTTGTTTTACTAGGCTGATATACTGCTGCTATCCAGCTCAGAACCAAACAGTCTGTGCTACATAGAGACAGCTGAACTAGATGGGTAAGGCTCTTTTTCAGGACTTGTGTTTATTTTTGGCTTATCAATAAAAGAGCAAAAAGTGTGTGTTTCAGAAATACGCAGTTTTAAAGCAGTGAAATTATTTTGAAGACAAAGGTACAATTATTTTCTTCATCTCAATCTCCATTGATAATGTCAGCCCCTAAGACTCTGTCAGATCTTCATGGATAATGTTAGTCCCTAAATCTCTATGCCAAGAAGCAATGAAGAGGTTAATGGCAAACCACTGGTACGCGAGGCGAGTGGAATGAGGGACCCTGTGCACAAGCTGTGCCCCACGGGAGCTGCCTGGCAGCACTGCAGAGCCACTGCCAATGCTCTCCTAAGGGCTGTGCACATAGGGGAGTCCCAGGTGCCTGGAAAATGGGAAGTATTGCACCCATCTCCTGAAAGAGCAAAAGGAGGATGAGGAAACTGGAAACAAGGCGGCCTCACTTGAGTTCCTGGAAAGGTTATGGGACAGAGACTGTGACATTCCAAATTATGGAATAGTGTAAATCTTCTTGTCTCTGTCAAAATGCTTTGGAATGTTCATTTAGTTCATGTTGTCAGAGAAGCTCCTCCTGAATTTCTTTTAGAAAAGTTTCTAATGAAACGGACTTCACCTAATGAGGTAAAAAGTTGTTTTTTTTCCTAAATGAGCAGTAACTTCCTCCCTTAGCCTTAATGATCTTACAGACTAACATAACTTCTTGCAAAACAAGGATCCCTTTGAGTTTGTAAATATGCTTGATCTTTAGTGAGCTTTTAACAATGTCACTTATTAAATATTGTGTGGATAACCATTGCCTCAAACTTAAGTATTCCATTGGTAAAACAGTGATTCCAGGAAGCTTCACCTATTTCTGGTGAGCAGAAGTAAAGGTGTGCTGCACTGTAAGATTCCAGTTATGAAGAAAAACAACTAAACTATTTTAGAACTAATCCTGTAGTTCTTGAATGTTTCATATTAATAAATGATTGCATTTGCGAATGCATGACCTTGCCATTGCTTCAGATTAGAAGGTTGTTATCTGTGGCATGTTGCTTTGCTGCTTAATTTCTTCTTATGTTTTTTCTCTCCTGTATCTGTATTTCTTATTGAAATGACCTTTTTATCCTTTCTTCTTAGTGAGACTAACTTAAAATTCAAAATGGCGCTTGAGGTAACGGATAGATATCTTCAAGAAGAAAGTGCAATGGCAGCCTTCGATGGTTTGTACAGTTGTGTTTTATGCTTACAGCTATCCAGATGTTGCTCGAGCACTTCATAGTACACGTGCATGAAACATGGGTGCGGGTTAAGGTTCATGTGATCTGGAGTTAGCAGTTTCTTGCCATTTGTCACCATGCAGTGTAAATTATGCAAGGAAATTGTTTGGGTTGCTGGGCAAAATGCTCAACAAAATGCAGAACGTCTGAAGATGAGATCTATGTTGCCAATAGGCTCTGACACATTTTCCTATCTCTTTTCTTTGGAAAAGTGCTGTATGTTTGCTGCTCTCCTTTCCATGTTTACCATTAGCGTCCAGCCGCGTTCTGTGTGTGCGCTGAAACCTGCCAGGGAGGAATCCATTCTCCTGCTGAGACTGGGAATAAAGTTTTGTCTCAAGATCATTTGTTTAGCAATCTTAAACTTAAAACCGCTTCAAAGAAAAAGAAAAAAAAAGCTGTTGGGGAGCTGTGGTCCTGTATTTTGTTCCCTCTTGCCCATCCACCCGTCGTGATTGGAGACAGGGCTCTGGGCTAGAGAATCCACTGCTTTGACCTGCAGCTGCCATTCTGAGTGCCTCTGCAGCAACCTGAACTTCCCTTGTTGTTTTACCTTTTAAATGCTTTGTTTGTTTGTTTGTTTTTTATGAGATAGAATTTTGATATGACAAGTGCAGCTTGAACCAAAAATTTACAATGAGCTTGATTTTGGGAGTGTAAATGCAAACATATAGCACCAAGTGACCGATCTTGACAGTGGGAATAGTGCCAGTCCTAAAAGTCAAAGTCAAATGTCACTTCCTTAGCCAAAATATTCACAGATATCTGAATAAGCAGTGATATATTTTATCAAGTTTGTAAGAAGGGTGGTGGAATAAAAGGCCAGCCTGGAACAGTGTGGTTTGGATGCTCTGTCCCTGTTGGACCCTTGCTGGTAAATCTTCCATGGCAAAATAATCTGGAATGCTGGTACTCCTGCCTGTGTGCAGGCCCCTGTTAGACTTGGGACCGTTAAGGGAAAGGTGTTATGAGTTAATGCTGTGCTGCTATGGCTGTTAGACTTGGGACCGTTAAGGGAAAAGTGCCCTGTTTACGAGTTAATGCTATGATGCAGAAATGCATTCTTTCTGCTGTTCAGTCCAGAAAGAAAATACCACTGAAGATGCCATATTTAAAACGACAGCAACACAGTACTGAATATTTGTGCATCCCATTTTTCAATGGTTTCAAGAAATGGTTCATTCACAACAGTTGGGTTTTGCATGCAAAAATGCATGGAGTAAAATTCCTTGTATAGTAGGCACAAATTGATACAGTTTTATTAAATCAATGTATACTAAACATGATCATCTCCTGCAAATTTTTAGGTCTCATTGAATGTGAAGAACCTAATAACCGACTGGATAAGTTTGCAGGAACATTATTCTGGAGAAACATGAGTTATCCACTGGATGCTGATAAGATTTTGCTACGTGGATGCAAAATCAGGAATACAGACTTCTGCCATGGAGTGGTCATATTTGCAGGTATTTATGAAATGAACACCTGTAGCATTTCCTGCTGGAAGGGTGTCCTACAAAGTGACATGACATCCTTCACTTATAAGCTGTGGCTGTATTTTATGTCCCAGTCTTATAAGATAGTAGTAATAACACTTACTTGCATGCAATTTTATTTATTTTAGGCGCTGATACAAAAATAATGAAAAATAGTGGAAAGACCAGATTTAAAAGGACACAGATTGACTCCCTTATGAACTACATGGTTTATACTGTAAGCCTTTTTGTTTAAAATCCAGCTGTTTGAGAGCACTTTAAGTGAGCAAACTGAATGAACGCAAGTTGAGGAAACTTCCTTGGTTTTTATTTTTCGTTTGTTTTAGTATGTTCCCACTTTGTTTGAACCTCGGCAGCTGGGCTCAAGGACTCTCAAAAGCTGTGTAGCTGTTAGTGAAACCTGTGACCCTGCGCTGCGTGTGTAGGCCGCCTACACAGTGCAAATAAATGCTTCCAAACAGACTAGCAGGTGCCTCTCACTGTTTCCACTAAACCACTGGCTAAAGAACTGGACTTGGATCCTGGTCCACAGACACCTTCAGCCCGGAAGGCTTTTCCTCCGGGACAAGCAGCCTTGGAATAGCAGTGTCCTCCAATCTGTGTCCCTTGTGGGAAGTCACACGTGAGAATGAAGTGATGCCCGGGGACGGGGAAAGAGGAAAAGCAGCCAGAGTGTCACCAAGGCCTGGGATTAGCTCAGTTGTCACTGATTCTGCCCCTGCTCCAAAGACATTCACGTACCCTGTGCGCTGCCTGCCTAAATACGTGTAAAGAAGTAAATGTAGCTTGCAGAATGGACTAAAATGAAAACCCTGTATGAGAATATTGTTTGGGGAAAATTTTCTTCCCTTCTATTTACTTATAAAGAAATTGAATATTTTATCTTGAACATGAGATTGGGAATTAGGTCTAGCCGACGTGTTGGGGTGTCACAGGCTCCCTCCGTGTGTGTGTTGCAGATTTTTGTCTTCCTCATCCTGCTGTCTGCTGGCCTTGCCATCGGACACACGTACTGGGAGCAGCAGGTTGGCAACTCCTCCTGGTACCTGTACGACGGGGAGGACTACAGCCCTCCTTACCGCGGCTTCCTGAATTTCTGGGGCTATATCATCGTTCTGAACGCCATGGTTCCCATCTCCCTGTATGTGAGGTACGTAAATACCAATGCCTTTAAGTAGCTGACTTGATGAGAGTTGAGTTAGCTTCAGACAGAGCTTCATGTTGGTAGGAAAGCAGCTAATTCTGCCTTCACTTAATGCCCTGTAATGCAGTTTTACTGGAAAGTTGTTGAATTTGCTCGCTCTCTTTACTGGAATCTCAGAAGGTGAGCTATGCTGTATTATTTGTTTGTTGAAAATCATGATCCTTGGCTCAGAATTTAAGGATATCAAGCTGTTCTTACAATATTGAGTGTATTTGTTTTATACTTTGAATAGTGAAAATTTGTTGACATCAGAAAAAAAATGCAGGATTTATCCTGTCACTATTTAACTTGTTTAGTTTTACGGGCAAGCACAGAAGAAACTGCGTTTAAAATAAAATTAAAATGAAACATCATATAGTCACAGTCTATGTGTCAGAGGAAAGGCCTGCCTTGCTGTGCTGTCAAGGTCAGCAGGATTTGCAGCAGGATTGTGTAAATGGCACTTGTGCACTTGCTCTTGCACGTGGTGCTGTAGCACCGTCGTTCCCTTGCACTCGCAGGGCAGCTGGGGCTGTCACCAGTTACTGCACTGTGGAGCTGCTAGTTTGAGTCCTTAGTTCAGCCCGTGCAGGGCCAGGCTGCTCTGTAACGTCATGGTCAATGTTACCTTAAATACCTGGGCTACGTAAGCAATTTGAATCCCTGAAAATGCAGTCAGAGCTCCCTGGATCTGATAGACTGCAATTATTTTGAAACACAAGATGATGTGGGAAGTAAGAACTTTGTTTTGTTTCATTTAGCGTCGAAGTGATTCGCTTGGGCCAAAGCTATTTTATAGACTGGGATCTGCAAATGTATTACCCCGAAAAGGATACAGCTGCAAAAGCCAGAACCACCAAACTAAACGAACAGCTTGGACAAATCCACTACATATTCTCTGATAAGACAGGAACACTTACACAGAACGTCATGACATTTAAAAAATGTTGCATTAATGGACAAAGATACGGTAAGTCTATGCCACGACGGCAGCGCTCTATAATAAAAAAAACAATTTTCAATTTCAACAGCAAATACCAAGTGAATTCTGCTGCTAGCAGCATGAGTGAATTGACACTGGGATTCCCAGTGAGCCAGGTGAAGCTTTTCTCTTCTCTCAAACTTGCGTGTGGATGCAAAGCACAGGGGAATGTCCACAGCGACTGAGGGAAGTGGAAAATTGTCCTGGTTTTGCTCTCCTGGAGAAAGGAGGAGGCAGACACCGACCCTCTTAGGATGTTCCAGTGATCATAGGAGGCTCTGTACTCATGTCCCTGGCCCGAGTGGCAGCTGGGGCAGAAACGCTGCCCATGTGAGTTCTCATTTGCTACAGGAGCGTATGCTGAAACCTTAAAAGTTCCTACATAGCTTTGCTGGCAGCCTCCGAGGCGTTTCTCATTTTTAGCCTAAAAAAATGAGTAGAAATTTAATTAACGCCTGTTCAGGAGGAGTCTATATGTGAAATGAGGTATGTGTGACTTCAGTTTCAGCTCAGCTTCCATGGAAGCCCTCAAATGAATCCAGATAATTAAATCAAGGTGTTGGCTTTCCACTGTTAGCCCCTTTATAAAGGGCCCGATGGGAAACCTTCCAGGAGAAGACTTAGAAATTTACACAGGGCTTTCCCTTTGGAAGAAACCCTCCTCGGCCAAAAATGATTTAGAAACGAGCAAGAAAGGATAATGAGAGCTGGCTTTTGTTTTGGTGTTTTAGTTCTATTTCCAAGCTGGTTTGGTTTTTAGCATTTAAAATACACAGAGAACATACTTCAAAACTGCACTGTAGGGCGATCAGCGCAAACAGCAAGGAACGCAGTGTGGTAATGACACGTTTTTTCAAACAACCTGCCTCTGAAGACAGAGGTTCAGCCTCTGACAGTGAGAATTGCCCTAGAGCAGCATAGCTGTTTTATGACAATCCACACGCTTCCTGTGGAGGGAGGTACCCGAGCATGGTGAGTACCTCTGCGGTTCCGCTGGGGTGCCCCGGCGCGGAGCTCCGCGCAGGACCCCAGGGCGCTGCTGCTCTGTGTTGCAGGGGACGGCCGGGACGCAGCGGGGCGGCCGCGGGGCCAGGCCCAGGTAGGTGCGGGCTCCCTCCCCGCGCGCGGCCCCGGGAGCGCCCGGCACGCCGCCACTCGCCCTCCCTGTGCTCCTTCTGCCCAGCGAGTCGATCTCAGCTGGAACGTGTATGCAGACGGAAAGCTCTCCTTCTACGATCACTACCTCATAGAGCAGATAAAAGCTGGGAAGGATCCCGACATTCGGCAGTTCTTCTTCGTGCTTGCCATCTGTCACACGGTCATGGCTGATGTTTCTGATGGTGAGTATTTTCCTGGGGGAAAGGGAAACAACAGTCTGAATCCAGGTGCACATGCAGGAGGTCAAAACCGAATGTGGATCACATGGGTGGGAGGGAATGTTAGGCTGTTCTTTTAGATTAAACAACAGCAAGGCCCAGCGGAATTCCCTGCGATGAATTTATCTGCCTCGTTACGGTAGGAGGACTCTCTTTATGGCGATCACCATTTTGGTAAATATGTATCTTAGCAGCAGACTTAGAAAGGTAGTGGAGCTGCTTATACAGAGGTCCTGTTATTTTCTGATTTTTAAACCTCTCTTTAAATATGGATCTGCTTAGAATCTCAAAAGCATGAACCCTGAATAAAATGAAAATGCCCGTAGCATAACCTTTCATTGCACAAACCCTTGTTGCAAGTACTTTTGGAGACCTGTTCTTTTCAGCGTGGTGAAAAGAAGTGTTTTCAGTGTGAGAGTTTCGTGCACTTACTCGTTAAGTGCTGCTCCACAGACACCTGAATTTGTGTATGTCCATTCTGAGGGTATCTGCAACAGGTAGCCAAGCTGAAAATGAAAATATGACAGCAAGTAAATGTAAAGGTGAGCAGCTAGGGGAGAAGGGTGAGAGTGGAAGGATGAAAGATTCAGTTAAAACATATTGATGCAAGGGAAGCGGAGTATCGTTTTGGGGGGTTCTTTGGCTGTCTTTTGGTGAGATCTTTCTGAAGCCAACATTTCTTCTCCTTTGTTGTTCCTGCGTATTTTTTTCTCCCCACTCTGTTATGTTTGGTGTCTGTGGCCAAGGGTTCGTGTTTTCAAGTTTCCTTTCAAAATGCTTACATGAAGGAACTGAGCCGTGCAGACACCCAGATGGTGGTTGTGATGGAGGGAGGAGTTGGGCTCCGTTGCCCCCGCGCTCCGTTCCGCTGCTCTGGACGGGGAAGCTGGGCGCTGCGTGTGCAGCACACGGGTATTTTGGGGAGTCAGTCCGGAGCTCTTGCTGAGCGCAGCAGCCCTGTCGTGCTCCAGGATTCCCCGGCTCCCTTCTCCCTGCGCTCTCTCCATGACACAGGTCAGCTCAACTATCAAGCAGCCTCCCCGGATGAAGGGGCCTTGGTTACAGCAGCCAGGAACTTTGGCTACGTTTTTCTTTCACGAACACAAAACACCATCACTATAAGCGAGATGGGGGTTGAAAGAACCTACGATGTCCTTGCTATCTTGGACTTCAACAGCGACAGGAAACGAATGTCTGTCATTGGTAAGTTGATTGCACCCACCCCTTAATTTGTAAGACCTCTTGCAGAAAGGTTTGCAGACTAGTTGTGCATTGTGATCATCTGGGGCTTGGCTCCTGTGTGTCTAACCCGCTTAGCTGGCCACTGGGAGGCCACAGCCAGCCACGTGTCAGCAACGGGCTCACCTAGCTCCTTAGCAGGGGTAGAAATTGGGGGAGCCGAAGGCGATGCGCATTTTGTAGGTGGAAAAGTAAATGCAAGGAAAGGTGGGGTCGGGTTCTGCTGTGTGGCATGAGCCTGCTATGGATTTTAATCTGCGTGGCTGTGGTTGGCAAAAGGAGCTTTGGAAGTGTTTGGGAATGTGTTTGCTAGCCTGTTGGTGATCAAGCATGGCCTCTGCTGAAGACAGCCTTAGGTCCCCTTAGGAGCATGAAGAAATGTTGCAAAGATGATGTGTCCCCTTTCCCCCAGAGGACAAATTGCTTGTCCATGGTGTTTCCTCTAGCTATAGCTATAGGAATTAGGTTTGTAGGCTGGGGTGTGAATAGCTTTTAAGTTTTGGTTTTAATTACTGTTAAAGAACTCTATCTTGAATCAATTTGGGATGGAAACGTTTTCATTATTTTATTTTGCACCACCTCTCTAGTGTATGTCTCTCCACAGCTTTTGTGGGTGAGATGTTACTATCACATGAACCATCATGAAAAGCAAAATTATTGAGAATTCAAGCATCTTTTCCCCTCCTGAAAAGGAAAAGGATGTGTAGCTGAACTCTTAAGAGATGATGCACTAGAAAGGAACAGGATCTTGTGGTTTTGATATTTAACAACATGAGACTAGAACATCTAACTCCAAACAGTTGCTCCATCTAGATTGCTCTAACGTTTTGTCCCACTGCTTTTATTTTACTCAACAGTAAGAGAATCTGAGGGGAACATCAGGCTCTACTGCAAGGGAGCAGATACAGTCATTTACGAGCGCCTGCACCCGAGGAATCTGAAGAGAGAAGTTACAGAAGAAGCACTGGATGTATGTTTGCAATTTATATGCTGTTTTATAATAACATCTTGAATTCGTTTCTAGCCATAATCTCATTTTATTCATCTCATTTCTCTAAGCCACTAGAACAAATGCAGGCCCATAACTGCTAGTGGCAAATACCCCAAATCACTAAACTTTACCCTGTTTCTCACTTCTCTCTTTAATCTTTCAATTCAGGCTCCCTTGCACAGTTGGATGTGTTTGATCAGACTCTCCACTAATGCTTGTTATCTGAACTGTGATGCTTGGTTTCAAGGTGAAGGGGTTTGTTTTGTGGATGTGCTTTTTTTGTTCTTCTCAGGTTTTTGCAAACGAGACTCTTAGGACACTCTGCCTCTGCTATAAAGACATTAGTCATGATGAATTTGAAGCGTGGAATAAAAAGTTCCTGGTGGCGAGTGCAGCTATAACTAACCGTGATGAAGCTCTGGATAAAGTGTATGAGGAAATAGAAAAGAACCTCATTGTAAGTAAAACTTTGGGGGTCTTTTGTTTGTCTGTTTTCTTCTTACATTAGCAGAACAGATGTTCTGAGAATAGATTTGTGTTGCTTTTTGATTGAGGTCTTTTGAGTATGTTATTGACCACATCAAACTCTAGAGAACTTAACAGAATGAAAGAAAATAGGATACTTTCAGCTGATTAGGTATTTATTTATACCATGTCTTGCTCTTCTCTATTATTCTTTAATGGACAAGTTCATTTCCAGGCTATGACAAGATGTTTTTAGAAAATAACAAAAACAAAAAACTTACTACCCGTTTGCTCAGGCCTGGGGTGATTTTAGTAAGCATTTCTGCTCTGGGTCAGCTCCCATTTGCCACAGGGTTTGTTTATTTCGTTTGAAGACTGAATATAGTGTCGTGCATGATACAAGAGTGAACAGAGCAAACAGTGTGATCCAGAGTAACAGATCCTCCAAAAAACACAGGTTTCTTATGTCTTTTAACTGCATCTAAATTAAACTTTTCCTGTTGAGAAACCCCCTGCTCTGAACCGTATCCTGTATAGGTGCCTGCTCTATGGTGTTGAGAGAATTGTGCTCAATATTTGAGAGTGTTTTGGTGCTCCTAAAGAAATGCTTATCCAGTTTATAACACTTTCTGCTTCGATACGGAGCAGTTTCATTCACCTCTTTAGCTGCAATCAGTTTTGTGTGCATGCTGCTTCTGCTAACTGTTGTGCTGCATCTAACTCACAGCTCCTTGGAGCGACAGCTATTGAAGACAAACTGCAGGATGGAGTTCCAGAAACAATTAACAAGCTTTCCAAAACAATTAACAAGCTTTCGGGCATTAAAATTAAAATCTGGGTGCTCACTGGCGACAAAAAAGGTGGGTTCACTTACTGCCAAAGAGCTAGCAAAAGCCACATAATAGCTAGAAGATAAACAATTACAAAATGGAAACAAGGCTTTTGTTTTTAGAAAAGCTTTGTATGAAAGTAACTGAAAACTGGAGGAATTTCTACAGTATGTGCAGTATTTCTTGCCAGGGGTTCCCAACCCAGAGCTTGCTAGAAGGGTGTCCGTGTAATTCGTGCTCCTTCAGCATATCAACCCAGAGGGCTGGTTTTGTGACTGTTTTCTGCAGGGAATACCCAGCCATAGCCCTTCCCAGAGCGGAATTCCCATGGGACACTGTGCCTGCAGCCCCGGGCCTTTCCCAGAGCGGAATTCCCGTGGGACACCGTGCCTGCAGCCCGGGGCCTTTCCCAAACGGAATTCCCATGGGATACCCTGCCTGCAGCCCGGGGCCTTTCCCAGAGCGGAATTCCTGCGGGACGCTGG